TGTTCGTCTTGTATACAAGTGCATGTATTAGTAGCAGACTGTATTCAACTAAGATAGCCAACCCTAACATGTACATTGTTATTATTTTTGTTGTGTGAATTTAATGAGAATTTTATGCTTATTCTTCTCCTTGATACGTCTGTCTTTGCTATGTGTCACGTTTAGTTGTACATGCATGTGTGCGTCTTTGACCAAGTCTATTACATACGATATTTTTCCGATGTAGCATTGAATGCATTTATGTGAGATGGAGACTCTTGTAGTCTAGTGAGATTTTCGAAAAAAGGCTCTGCATAAGAGGTAAGGGGCATTTTGGGGTAAAATTTGGGAACCAGGCTTATTAGCATAATTTCGGGATGCTGAATCTGATTTACCCGGTTCCCAAGCGAAATTTTGCATTTTTAACCGTCTAATTTGCAAAAAAACAAAATGGCCGCCAGATTTCCTATTTTCTGCAATATCTCTGGAACTAGACAGGCAAATATGACAAATGAAGTGTCTTTACCTATATTTTCAGGGTCGAGGAACATTATTAAGATGTTTCTGTTAGAATTAGATTTACGCAATTTTCCTAAATATGCAAATTAGGATCGCCATTACTGAAAAACCGTTTTACTTCTGTATCTCTGTAACTAGGCAAGCAAACATGACAATTGAAGTGTCTACACCTATGTTCTCGGGGTCAGGGAATGTGATAAATCAGATTTCTTGTCTGATGGGTAGCACTGACTTTGTGAATCGTGTCCGAGTAGCACCTTTTATTGTTTCTTCCCTGTATCTGTCAAACACTAGTCAATCTGGTGATAGTTAGAACCTACCTTCAGAACTGCTCTTACGTACGTGTCAGCCAATCTACCAAAGGTCACTGCATTGTCAGCCTTTCCCAGTGAAATTGCCAGTGCTTTCCCATCAATTACAAGGCAAGGTGAGCAGAGGCGGATCCAGGATTATTTGAAGGGGGAGTCCGCGGATGCAAAGCCGACCCCCCCCCTACTTGGCAACGGGTGGCCTGTTGAAGGGGCCTGTTGAAGGGCCACGAAAAATTTTGGTATTTAAGAGGGCGAACGGTGCCATTTGGTATGGTTTACAAATTTGTTTCAGCTAGTAAAAAATTATAATTTCAAGGGGGAGGGGGGCAGAATTCGAAGGGAGGGGGGGTCAGGGCCCCCTTGACACCCCCCCAGTTTAATTTCATCAGGGCAGAATACGTCTTCTATTTACCTTTCTGTTACAGATTTGGTCTCAACGAAATCGTTTAGAAGCTTGAGAAACTGCTCAGACTTGCTATTAACACAGAAATGTTTTCCGTATCGTCAATCATTAAATTGGATTCAATAGAATATCAGAAGATTAAAGCTAAAATTCAAGAAATTTTGTTAATTAAAATGAAACGATACCAATGGATAACCAGTAATAAACTAATGGAAAAATCGCTGAAATGAATGAGGTGAGATGTCATCGTGTACTTGAAGTATACACATATATATTGACATTTAATATAGAATATTTTAATTCAAAAGCAAAGCGTTGATAATAAATTAACTTTTCAAAAAATTTGATCACAAACGACAATTGTGATCAGGTATATGTGTAGCCAGGTGTGCTGGTTATTGTTCATTAGGCTGCTTTCTCTGAAGCGCGGTTATATTACGTAATATGTGGCAGTTTCTCTGAGCAGTCCTCTTTGGCTGGTTACAGAATGTGTATAAAAGGGAAGCAGTTCTGCAGAATAAGTCTCTTTATTTCGGCAACGTCTAGTCAGAAGAGTTTGATATTTTGCAGACTCTTAGCTGACCTTACGGTTTGTGAACTAACGGCAGCAACTTGCCACACTATTGTTGCATTATGCCAGAATGGACAGAAGCAAACTGCTATTGTCAGACAGCTGAATGTGTCCCAGGGAGCAGTTTCTAACGTCTTACAGAAACACGCCCAGACTGGTGCATTAACACAGAGACCACGGCCAGGACGTCCTAAAGTCACCACCAGAAGGGAAGACCACTTGCTTCTGCGGTTATGTCGCAACAGCCGGACAAAGACAGCTCTTGCTGTACAAAATGAGTGGCAAATTACCATTCAAAAGCATGTTTCAAGAACTCTAGTGAATGTAAGGCTACTTTTAGCTGGTTAACTCTATGAACAGAGCAGCATGGTGGGCTAGACGCCATTTGCGGTTCCAGGCACAGCACTGGGTTCATGTAGATTTTTACAGATGAGGCAGGGTTTGAGTTCCACCACCGCGATGGCTGAATCAGAGTCAGTAGGTTTCCAGACGAGTTACTGCACAAGGATTGTGTCACACTACAGTGACTTGTGGCCGTGGCAGTATCTGTGTATGGGCCGGTTTCCACGCTGGAGCCAAAACACTATTGGTGGAAATTGACGGAAACCTCAACCAGATAAAATGCAGGGACATTTTAGAGAATAGTTGCTTGCAGTTTGCAAGAAGGTACTTCCAGGACAACTTCATCCTGCAAGATGACAATGCCCGACCACACCGTGCCCATGCAATAACTGCTTTTCTGCAAAACCAACAGGTAAACCAGTTGCCTTGGCCGACGAAATTCCCCTGACATGGATTCTATAGAAAACCTGTGGGCATAAATCGCTAGCAGAATCAAGAGCTTACCCGTCCAGCCTACAAATCGGCACAAGCTTAGGCAAGCTCTGTCTTATGCGTGTAACACAATACTGGATCATACTCTCAGAAACCTCTCTGCATGGATCCCTCGCCGAGTGATGGCTCTGGTTGCAGCTACAAGAGGCTGCACGCGTTGTTATCAGTTTCCATTTTTCATATTTGTGTTGATGTTTCTTTTGTGTGAGAGAAAATCCTCACCAATTGATATTCTTGATAATATCGACTTCATAAGAAGTTAATACCTCGTTGTTATCAGCTATTAAATTATCCATGCGCTGTTTATGACGCTGATTTGAATACGTATTTAAATGAAATTTTTGATGATGTATTCACACGGGTTGATTTATTAAAGCCATATCGAACATGATAACAAGTGTTTTTTTCATCCATTACTAATATATGGGAAAAAATCAAAGAAAATATGTTTGAAAAAAATCAATTTTAAATGTCAAGTCTGTACAGTGCATCACATGAATTACTTGATTCAGCAAATCGCTCCATTGCATTAATAAGGTAATCTTTTTTAAATCTAGGTAAAAGGGGCAGTTGTGTGATCCAATATGTTTACATCCCAATGGAAGCGCAGTATTTAATTGCAAAATTCAATTCAGATTCGAATAATTGCTACAGTGTGACAGTGTAGCACTCATTGCTGATTTGATTATAGTGAAAATGTCTTAATCACTTTAACTTACGCTGAAAACATGGGTATGGGCACTTCATATGTCATGTTTGCTTGCCTTGTTCACGTAAAAGCAGTTCTGAAGGCAGGTTCTAACTATCAGC